GGTACAGCAGTGAAGCACTCAGTTGCTAACCAAAAAGTTGGCAGTTTGAACCTACCCAGCGGCTCTGCAAGAGAAAGACCTGGTGATCTCTTTCTGCAAAGACGCCAAACCAAAATCAAATCCATTGCCACTGAATTGATTCTGACTCATAGTGACCTATAGGACAGAGTGGAACTGCCCCATAGGGTTTCCAAGGCTATAAATCTTTATGGAAGCACACTGCCACATCTTTCTCCCATAGAGTGGTTGGTAGGTTCAAATTGCTGACCTTTTGGTTAGCAGGCAAACGCTTAACCACTGGGCCACCAGGGCTCTTTCCGCAAAGATTACAGTCTAGAAAACCCTATGGGGTAGTTCTACTGTCACGTGGGGTCACTCCAAGTCAGAACTGACTCCACAGCACACAACAACAATAGTTTTTCTAAACTGTCAGATTCATTCACTGCTGTATCCTCACACTTTTCATATTGCCCAACACATAGCATTCCATGGCAAATAGCAATGCTCAGTTTCATACTTACAGAGTTTAGCACAGCGCCAGGCTCAAAAAATGTTACGTGAATAAAGTAAGAAATTATACTTGAATATAATTCACAATTAACATTACTCTACAGGCAGTACCTGTGTTAGGAACATCCGACTTACATACATCCCGTAGTTAAGAATCAACTCTGTAAAGCCTATTATATTAAAAATTGGAGGTACATACAATGGTTCATAATAACAAACAGGTGCTACTTTGTGACAAGCATCAAAACATTATTATTATTACTGTATTACTATGTTAACGTCACACATCTGTCAGTTTGTCATACTGTGGTGGCTGACATATTACTGTGATGCTAGAAGCTATGCTACTGGTATTCAAGTACCAGCAGGGTCACCCATGGTAGACATGTTTCAGCTGAGCTTCCAGAGTAGGACAGACAAGGAAGAAGGCCCTGGCAGACTACTTCTGAAAAAAATTAGCCAGTGAAAACCTCATGAACAGCAGCAGAACACTGTCTGATATACTGCCAGAAGATGAGCCACTCAGGTTGTAAGGCACTGAAAATACACCTGGGGAAGACCTACCTCCTCAAAGTAGAGTTGACCTTAATGACATGGATGGAGTCAAGCTTTCGAGACCTTCATTTTCTGATGTGGCAGAACACAAAATGAGAAGAAACAGCTGCAAACATCCATTAATAATCAGAACCTAGAATATACGAAGTATGAATCCAGGAAAATTGGAAATCATCAAAAATCAAATCGAACGCATAAACATCGATATCCAAGCATTAGTGAGCTGAAACGGACTGGTGCTGGCCATTTTGAATTGGACAACCATATGGTCTACTATGCCGGGAATGAAAAATTGACGAGGAATGGCGTTGCATTCATTGTCAAAAAGAACATTCCAAGATCTATCCTGAAGCACAATGCTGTGTGATAGGATAATATTCATAAGCCTACAAAGAAGACCAGTTAATACGACAATTATTCAAATTTACCCACCAACTCCTAAGGCTAAACATGAAGAAATTAAAGATTTTTACCAACTTCTGCAGTCTGACATTGATCAAACAGGCAATCAAGATGCACTGCTAATTACTAGTGATTGGAAGGCAAAAGTTGGAAACAAAGAAGAAGGATTGGTAGTTGGAAAATATGGCCTTGGTGACAGAAACTATGTCAGAGATCACATGATAAGAATTTTGCAACACTAATGACTTCTTCATTCCAAATGACTTTTTTCAACAACATAAACAGTGACTTTACACATGGACCTAGCCGGATGGAATACAGAGGAATGAAACCGAATGTATCTGTGGAAAGAGACGATGGTAAAGCTCAATATCATCAGTCAGAACAAGGCGAGGAGCCAACTGCAGAACAGACCAATAATTGCTCCTACGCAAATTCAAGCTGAAGCTGAAGAAAATCAGAACAAGTTCACGAGAGCCAAAATACGACCTTGAGTATATCCCACCAGAATTTAGACATCATTTCAAGAACAGATTTGACTCACTGAACACTAACCACGAAACACCAGACAATTTGTGGAATGGCATCAAGGACCTCATACATGAAGAAAGCAAGAGGTCACCAAAAAGACAAGAAAGAAAGAAAAGACCAAAATGGATGTCAGAAGAGACTCTGAAACTTCTTCTTGAACACAGAACAGCTAAAGCAAAAGGAAGAAACGATGAAGTAAGAGCTGAACAGAAGATTTCAAAGAGCAGCTCGAGAAGACAAAGGAAAGTATTACAATGACATGTGCAAAGACCTGGAATTAGAAAACCAAAAGGGAAGTACATGCTCAGCATTTCTCAAGCTGAAAGAACGGAAGAAAAAATTCAAGTCTCGAGTTGCAATACTGAAGCATTGTATGAGCAAAATACTGAATGACGCAGGAAGCATCAAAAGAAGACGGAAGGAATACAGAGTCCCTGTACCAAAAACAACTGGCTGACATCCAACCATTTCAGGAGGGAGCATATGATCCAGAACTGATGGTACTGAAGGAAAAAGCTCAAGCTGCACTAAGGCACCGGCAAAAAACCAGGCTTCAGGAATTGATGGAATACTAATAAAGACGTTTCAACAAACAGATGTAGCACTGAAGGCTCACTCATCTTTGTCAAGAAATCTGGAAGACGGTTAACTGGCCAACTGACTGGAAGAGATCCATATCTATGCCTAAACCAAAGAAAGGTGGTCCAACAAAATGTGGACATTATCAAACAAAATCATTAATATCACGAACAAGTAAAATTTTGCTAAAGATCATTCCAAAGTGACTGCAGCAGTACATCTACAGGGAACTGCCAGAAATTCAAGCCAGGTTCAGAAGAGGATGTGGAATGAGGGATATCATTGCTGATGTCAGATGGAACCTGGCTGAAAGCAGAGAATACCAGAAAGGCGTTTACCTGTGTTTTATTGACCATGCAAAGGCATTCGACTGTGTGGATCATAACAAATTATGGATAACATTGTGAATAAAGGCAACTCCAGAACACTAAATTGTGCTCTTAAGAAACCTGTACATAGACCAAGAGGCAGCCATTAGAATAGAACAAGGGGATACTGCCTGGTTTAAAGTCAAGAAAGGTGTCCATCAGGGTTGTATCATTTCACCATACTTACTCAATCTGTATGCTGAGCAAACAGTTTGAGAAGCTCGGCTATATGAAGAAGAACAGGGCATCAGGATTGGAGGAAGACTCATTAACAACCTGTGTTACGCGTCACAACCTTGTTTGCTGAAAGTGAACAGGACTTGAGACACTTACTGATGAAGATCAAAGACCACAGCCTTCAGTATGGATTATCCTCAACACACAGAGAACAAAAATCTTCACAACTGGACCAATAAGCAACATCATGATAAACAGAGAAAACACTGAAGTTGTCAAGGATTTCATTTTACTTGGATCCACAATCAACGCCCATGGAAACAGCAGTCAAGAAATCAAACGACACACTGCATTGGACAAATCATCTGCAAAAGACCTCTTGAAAGTGTTAAAAAGCAAAGGTGTTACTTTAAGGACTAAGATGCACTTGACTCAAGCCATGGTGCTTTTAATCACCTCATATGTATGTGAAAGCTGGACAATGAATAAGGAAGACCAAAGAAGAATACATGCCTTTGAATTACGGTGTTGCTGAAGAATATTAACTATACCAGGAACTGCCAGAAGAACAAACAAATATGTCTTGCAAGAAGTACAGCCAGAATGCTCCTTAAATGCAAGGATGGCAAGACTTCGTCTCATAAACTTTGACATGTTATCAGGAGGGACCAGTCCCTGGAGAAGAACATTATGCTTGGTAAAGCAGAGGGTCAGCTAAAAACAGGAAGACCCTCAACAAGATAGATTGACTCAGTGGCTGCAACAATGGATTCAAACATAATAATGATTATGAGGATGGTGCAGGACCGGGTAGTGTTTTGTTCTGCTGTACATGGGGTCACCATGAGTCGGAACTGACTTGATGGCACCTAACAACAACATTATGTTAAAGATGTTTGAATGTATCTGAAAGTGTTTCTTTAATGTTTTCCATGCATAGAAAGGTACACCATATGCTATATACTAAGACAAACATTTGACTCATTGATGTTAGATACAAACCATACGTAATGTTCTGACTTTCATACAAATTCAACTTAAAGACAGACTTAGGAACTGAACTAATTCGTAATCTGGGGACTGCCTTATATGGATATAATCTTCTGGCATTTCCAAATGTACATAGCATATATATCCCTGTCGAAACTGTCCATTTAAAACTGCAAGCGTCTACAACGCTGGTGGACTTTATCTGTTTAGATTGTATCCCCTGGTAGGACAGTTTGTTGTTCATACTGACACTATATCCTGTGTGTATTGTTCCATGGTCCTTAGCAAAACTGTTTTTATCTTCGTGGATTTTGTATATTCATAAATTCACAATTCACTTTGCTTCCTTTATCATGCAGTATTCACGTTTGCAAAACTAAATACAAAATGTCTGGATTAATACTGCAGAACAGAAGCTTTTATACAGGAAAACTGCATGTTAGCATCAAAAGGTTTCTGCGCCCTTTCTGTTCACTAATTTTTTCTCAGAAAATATGCGTAACAAAGTGGCTTAATTACAGGTAACTATTACTTAAGTGTAAGTAAATCAAATGACACCTAAACCTCAGAAGGCCTGGCGATCTGTTTCCCTAAAGATCACATCCAAGAAAACCTTATGCAGCAGTTCTACTCTGTCACACATGGGGTTGCCGTGAGTAGGAATCGAATCACGGCACCGGGTTTGGTTTTTTGGGACCGCAGTAGCAAACCACATTCCTTAGCTTTTTGCCCAGGCTGGGCTGACCCCTTTCAGTAATGAAGAGAAACTGCAAACCTCAGCATGCAATGCACCAAGTGCTGGTAGGGAGACCAGCTAGCAGCATCGCAATGCACTCTGGGGTTTGTAGTGAATGATTAAACCCCGGCTCTCACCGCCTTGACACTTACCGGACCCAGCCACTACCAAGAGACTGAGAGACTCACGGGGCACGACTTGGTGATGAAACACTACCCAAAGCCGCAGTGCTATGAAGACGGCCACAGTTCCTCCTCCCAACGCTGCTAGAATAAGGGCACCCGCCATGAGAAAAAAAAAAAAAAAAGACATATGAGTACTACTTCCGGGAACAAACAGCTGACGTGTTAAGTCCAAGCACTACGGGCGCCGAGGAAGCTCAAACACTGCATGTAGAACCTCTTGGTGGACTGGGCTTAGGGGAAGTGGGTGGGAGGAGTTAAGCAGCCAAGGCACAACTCTGGTTCCTGAGCTTTTTGGCTGACCTGTGGACTTTGTGTGGCTGCTGCGCAAGCACGAGCTGAAATACGGTAGTTAAGCTGTGGAGAGGTTTGATTTCCTATCTTGACGAGGTTGAAGTGTATCGTGCGACCAAAAGTCCCAAAGTTTCCAAGTGAAGAGGCGTTTTAGCTCTACTAACTTTATGAATTCCACCTGAGGCTAATGCAATGCATCGCCTTTTTTTTTTTTTTTAATTGTCTAGGTAAATGCTTAGGTTACAGACACAACACACATAAACACAAACAAACCAAAACCGTGTCGATACCGACTCATAGCGACCCTAAAGGACAGAGTAGAATTGCTCTATAGGGTTTTCAAGGATTGGTTAGTGGATTCGAACTGCCGACGTTTTGGTTAGTAGCGGAGGTCTTAACTGCTGCGCCACCAGGGCTACGTTTGAGACCTGTGAAACCCCCCTAGAAAAGTTAAAAGCATGAGTATTGGAAAAGAGGCAGCTTGAGTGGGGGCCCTAAATTCTATTTTTTGTACCCAGGCATCTTTTACTGGCAAACAGTCTTCTGTATGTCTGTGTGTGTGGAAGTAAATGTCCCAGCACTAAAAAAAAAAAAAAAAAAAAAAAAAATGAGGGCCCTCACTCAAACTGCCTCTTTTCCAACACTCATGATTTTAATTTTTCTAGGGGTTTTCACAGGCCTCAAACGGTCTTACTAGAATAGTTGCGGGTTATCACTTTAAATTATTCCGTGTACCTGAGGGGGATGGAAATTCAGTGGCTGAGGGTAGCAGGATAGAACAGGCATAGCTGCTACATTTAATATTCAATGAATTTTACCACAGGGCATTCCTAGTTTGCTCCTCATGTCCTCGGTCAAAGTGATGATCTGCTAACACCTCCCCAAACCCTGTTTCGTTTATTTTTATCCCTACTTAATCTACATTCAGCTCCATAAAAATACTGAGATTGGAGACGCCTCATCACTCCAAATGCAATTTGCCTTCAGTTCCCCATAGACCTATGAGGTTAGGAAGGACACATACACAGATGAGTAACTAGATCTAGGAAGCCCTGGTGGGGTGGTAGTTGCTAACCAAAAGGTTGGCGGTTCAAGCCTGCCAGCCGCTCCTTGGAAACCCTATGGGGCAGTTCTACTCTGTCCTATAGGGTCGCTATGAGTTGGCATTGACTCGTAATGGGTTTTGTTTTGTTTTTGGTTTAAGCAGGTCCACAAAGGCAAAACAGTTTGTCCAAGTGAAATAATGGCAGATCTAGACTCACAAACCAGGAATCTTACTGCATAGTGGTACTGTACTGTATATTCGTCTGTTAAATTCACACTTGACTTGCATAGAGTCTAGAGTGTGTGACTGAAAATGTAGACTCCCAGAGTCCACCACTACTGAATCAGAATCTCCAGAGAAGGGGTCTGGGATCAGCATATCTGACCAGTGTGTCAATTCCTATCAGCAGGCAAGTTTGGAAAATACTTATTTAGGGACTTTGTGGGTAAGTTGTTTTCTGGCTCATGGACTACATTCCTTTCCATATTAAACCTTCCATTAAATACTCTTTATAATGGTTAAGATTGTCTGTCAACTTGGCTGGGCCGTGATTCTCAGTGTTTAGGCAGTCCTATAATGTTGTGATCACTTCCCTGTTGACATTTGATATGCGATCACCCCCGTGATGGGATCTGCTGTGATTAGCCAGTCACTTGAAAGGGAATTTCCTTGGGTGTGTGGCCTGCATTAAATATAGGTGGACATTCTGGCAAGGCTTGAGGGCTTTTTGCTTGTGCTGGATCCTGCAGCTGGCTCCTGTTCATCTGACATCTGGTTTTTGGGACTTGAGCTACCAGCCTACCTGTGATCTTGCCTACCGATCTTGGGATTCATTGATCTTCGCCACCTGTGAGCAAGAGCCCTGCTCTCTGACTTGCCCATCTTGGGTTCACCAGCTCCTGTGGATACGTGAATCAGTAGAAGCCTGTATGCTGACCCATGGACTTGGGACATTCCAGCCTCTACAACTGCATGAATCATTTCCTCGATATAAATCTCTGTCTACATATGTATTTATATGCTTTAGTGGTTTTGCTTCTCTAGGGGACCCAGCCAAAGACAAGTGGTTAAAAAGACAATAAAATTAGATAATAATATAGAGGATCCAACATCCTACCAACAAGAGTTCACGAAGAGAGAACAGAGAAAATAGTAGGACATTATCAAAGAAATTATAAAAAATTTCCAGATAAAACGATCCCCTGACTGTCTAGCACAGTGAAGAAAGATCCATTCTAAGGTGCAACACTGTGAATTTTCAAACTACTAGGGGACAATGGGAATATATTAGAAAGAAAAACAGGGCAGATACAGGGGGATGGGAACCAGAAAGGCATTAGACATCCCAAGAACAACAGTGGAAATAAAAGACAGTGGAAGCATGTTTTTAAAATGCTGAGGAAAAATCATCTTCAACCTATCTAAATTATCAATTGGATGAGAATAGACATTTTCGGACATGCCAGTACTCAAAAAAATTTATCTTCTATGCACCTTCTCTGGGTAAGCTACTGAAGTCTGTGCTTCAGCAAAATAAGAGAGTAAAATTAAAAGTCAGTGTGTTTGGGCATTAGAAGATATTATTGATAGACATTTGATAGATATGTGGAAGCATTTGGATAAAATTCAAGTGAGATAAATAAAAAAATGAATGAAAAAGCAAGGCAATTAATAACTCCAGAAAGAACAGGAAAGTCTTCAAGAAAAGCTTATGGCACATTACTTGATTCAGCAATGTACTGTACTGACTTGGACAGGATGATGTAAACCCTAGTTATTGATTTGGGTGAAAACTGTGTGGCTATGCTGGGAGGAAGGGTGAGGACAAAGTGGTACTGGAAGGATGTATAAAAGAGAGAAATCCTCAAATACTGTTACCGAACGCAGTGGGTTCGCTGCTTGTACTCTCGTTAAGAATAACTAAGGGTCAAGCAGATTTAAAGCAAAGCATGGTTCATTATGGCGAGTAAGGAGAGGAAGGGAGATCCTCCACAAAAGCACTGTTTCTCCAAACGAAGGGCTGGGGGTGCTGTTTTACACCACTTGTGAAAGGAGAAGTTATACATATCCATTAACTTCATGTATATTCAAAAAAGTGGTTAGGGTAGGATTCTGGCATGGAATTGGCCAACAGACTTCTTCCTTCGGAAATGGGCTCGGTCACTGCTCGATGACGTATGTCCGGTGATTTTGGTTCCTACGCAGCACTTATGGGATGAGGCCATCTGACAGTCAACCTGGTCTCTTACTGCTCATGCCCAGGATTCTAGTTCCAATTGGCTGATCTGAAAGACAGCTACAACTGGACAGATTAGGAGGAAGCAAACAAGATTTGCACCATTCTTCTTCTAGAAAAAATTTTTAAACAACGTAACTTGTTGTTGTAAGGCCTTTTCTTTCCCTAGCTGGTCTCAATACTATGAGAAGATATCAATATGAAATCAAGAAACAATTGGTATAAGCATATCATTTAGGAAATGAAGAATGCCCTGCAGGGTTGAGGGTGGTAACCTGCAGGATGCTTTACTGGAATGTGGGAGAGGGTGGGGAGAAGTGGGGCAGGGAATGGATGTTTCTGTCAATTATGTATATTACTTTCATTAACTTCTTCTAACAATAAATACCAATAAAAATGCAAACAAAAGCAATACACGTGCACTACAAGAAAAAAGTTACATAAAATAAACAAAAAGAGAGTACAGAAGATATCCAGAATCTCACCCACCCAGAGATAACTGCTCCTAATATCTTCTTTGAAAAATTCTGAAAAACAGGAAATGCTCTTAAATATTCATCAAACCTTACAAAAATCCTTTATATACTAAAATTCTTGATCTAAATACAGGAAAAAAGTAACTTGATCTACAATACAGGAAAAAAGTAAGTTCTGTTTTGATTTGTTTTATTTTTCTTTTCTCAGCTTGGGAGCCCCTTCTAACCGGGCAGTACCACGCGGTTTAGAAGCTACTGCCTTACTCTGTGCAGATGCACAGGGACATCCCTGAGGTCATTTCTTTTCTCTTTTTTTTGTTTGTTTCTTTGTTTTGTTTTCTTCTCTTTCTTTTTCCCTTTTTGTCTTTCTTCATTTCCAGTTTCTCAATTTACTCATTTTTTTCTTTTACCCTTTTTCTTTCTTTTTTGTTTTTCCCCATTTCTCAGTCTCTCATTTCTCCACTCCAATAGCAGGCTCCCTTAGCACTCTTTTTTGTTTGTGTGTATGTTTTTGGCTCCTGTTCCTCTCTCCTCTCTCTCATCTTTCCCATACCCATCTTAGCTCCACACATCACAATCTACCCCCTCCTTCCTGCCTACCTGCACCATGCGCTGAACATCACACTCCCAAGCAGCATAGGCACAGCCTACTGGAACCTGCCCTGCACTGATTCCTTGTCCACACAGTCAGCCCTGATACGTGCCACAAACCCATCCCAGCAACTCCCCTTCAGCTGGACCTGGCCTGCTATACCATACCTGAGTGAGTGACCCTGCCCATTGGAGAAGGAGGTGAAAAGTATCATGCCCACAGATGAGCAAACAAAGAACGTACAGCCCACCTGCTCAGACATAACCAGATAAAACAAAAAAGCAGGATGAAACAAACAAATCTACAATCAATAAATGAGGAAAATAACCACTGAATGCCCCAAAGACAGCAGACGATATCAAAACATTTACGAAAAACAGGACAGGATGTTTCCAGTAGGCGTCCAAAATAAAACACGAGATCACTTTCCAGTAGAAGAAAAGGCACTAGACCTAACTGATAGGGAATTCAAGTC